CAAAAGAATTCCTTGTGAAATATACACGTTGTGTTTAAGGAACCTACTCACCTATCTTACAGTTTTCCAGAATGCCCATCACTATAGTATCTACATGCTGGAATATGACATTCTAAAAATATATGAATCTATACATGATATTTTCAGCAGGCAGGAGCTCCTTTCATTAGCAGATAAGCACTACATGCTCGATTCACAGTACGTTTTGGTAAGTTTTATTCTTTTCTGAATGCAGCATCCATCAAATTGTTTCATAATGAAGTTGCTATTCACACAGTGTGAGTCAGCTGACCAAACACAGGCCCCCAAGCACAAGAGAACATTGCAAAACCTATATTTTCACATACTGTACTACTCTGGCTGGAAGCATAAGCAAGATCTGGGCACAGCTGTCCACAGAGATTACATGTTCTGGAAAGCTAACTAATAATTCACATGTATGTGGGGAGGCGGGGCAGGATAGGATGCACTATAATGCATATATAACATCTAGCCAAAGGCCGTCCATCAGAATGCCTCTTTCACAGAGGACATTAATAATGGGAGTTCCGTACCTGTCAATAGTATAATGAGCCTAGTCATCTCTTTTCATGCATATATGCACAGTGTGTATAAGAGACAGTCTGCATATGACCTTATGGTATATGTTATCAGAATAATATTCTATCTTCTGCACATATACATATCTGAACTTGGCAATGTTCACAGATAAATGTATATATTTGTCCATTGTTTAAACATGCCTTCATCCTTACTTCAACAATAAATAGCTTGCAGTAAATATTAACTAATAAATACCTATTTCAGAAGTGGCTGATAAATTTTGTTTGAAGCTGATTATGTTTTCTGTGAATCAGAAGTATTTTAAACTACAGCTATACAATGCAAAGACTACTGGGAAACTTCTTATCAGAAGGATACTGTCAAACTAGAGAGAACTCAGAGGAGAGAAAAAGATTGATAAGGACATGTGAACTATCCCACCATGTCTCTGTAACTGCAATTACAGAGAGAGCGCAGCCAACAGAGGCAGCGAACAGACGCAGCAGTTTGTGCAGCAGTGTCTGGGCTCTGCCTGGGCCTTTTGTGGGCCTTGTTGGAAGTTGTGGAGGCTTTCTGGGGACCCCCGAGGAACTAGACAGTGCTTGCTGCTAGCAGGAAGGGAGAGCTGGGCAAGGACTCCTGCAGGGGACCTTGACTTAACTTCTCCTGGGAAGCTCTAGCTAGGTGGGGCTGCTGCTAAGGAGCTCTCTGGGCTGCCCTGGTCAGAGGGAGTTGGGGCTTTTGTTTCAGGTGGCTCCTGACTGGGTGGGTCAAGCACCCTTGTGAGTCACTGCTAGGCAGAGGCCTATATAAGAGCCAGGCCTAGAGCAGAGCTTCCAGAGTGCAGCCAACAGAGGCAGTGAACAGATGCAGTAGTTTGTGCAGCAGGGCACCAGAAGGCAAAGAAGGCACCTCTCCATTTTGCACAGTGGTGTGTCCTTCCCCAGGCATGGTCATGACACACCACAGAGCACGTTCCCCAGTGGCTGCTGGAGGTGCTGCATCGGCTGTGTCTGAGGCTTCAACCCAGACAGACCCTCAGACAGCAGATGCAGCTCTGCAGGTGTCAGGCTGCAGGGAGTGCCTGGGGCC